TGACCATCAATTGCTCCAAGGAACAGATGGTGGAACTCTGATCTAAAACATATATATTAAAAGGGAAACGGGATGAGCCACTGTTCCGTATGTAGTCTCATTTCCGACATCTAAACATGGATTTTGTATGGAAAATTCCTACACGAAACTTTACCAGGTAGTTCACGTCGGTGTCGCTTCAGTTGTTAATAGCTTGCCTGTGGAACACGGGAATAAGGTGAAAACAAATGCAGGCATTATTCGAAATGCTTTCGACGTGAAGGATTCAGGGGTTCTCAATCACCAGCGTAAATTCTCTCTCTTCATTTCACGTCCATTTCGCCTATATCTTCATCCATTGAAATTCGATAGAGTTCGGCTTCCTTCTACGCATGTATAGCTCATGATAGCCGGCGCACAACGCCAAAATACGCTTATATATCTTGGATTTCTCCACAAAGAAGTAGAATTCTTTTGCAGTCCTGTCTACTAAGGGAACCCGATTTTGGACTCCAACAATTTATCAGGCCCGTAGATACTCAAATTAAGTGCATCAACACCAAGAACAAGCAATATACATCTCCAGATTCTGTTCGATTTGTAGGTACTGAAGCTTTCCATCATCCGATCGAAACATTGCTTGTCGGCTTGTTTGTAGTGTTCTTTTCCGGAAATCGGTCGAGTAGCTGGCAAAGTTTAGCAGCTCATTCGCAGGATGCCAGTAGGATAGCGGTGTCTGTTAAGCAATAGAGTTTCCCCGACACTATACCGATTCAACAAACGACCGAGTCTCATGAGAACGGGTGATTTCTAAAAGCACTGATTGTAGAATCGATGGTTCGAGGCTAAGTAATTATTAAGAATTACCAAATAACACATTTAGTAAAGACGACCTTTTCAGTGTAGTTGTGGATCATAATTATTACATGCAATTGTGTTATAGGTAACTCTAAGGTTAGCGCTTTGTCTAAGATGTGGTACTCGTTGTACGATTTTTGGTCACTTTCTCTATTGTGATTTATGTCAAAAGCTTGGGGTTAAGATCGTTATGATTTGTTCACTAATGCATCGTTCGTTGCTTGCTTGGCATTTTACAATCGTTTTGCACCGTTACTAGATTCAAACCTACGGGGGAAGAATTTGTCATTACATTTGGCTATGCACTCTTTATCTTCGCTCTCGTTGCGCCGCCAAATGTGCTACTTTCTTCAGGCCTTACCATCGAAAAACTCTTCCATCGGCTTTTGGGCTCTGAAGAACTTTCATTTACTGCTTATCACCTTAGAAGAACAGCTCTTTTAACCGTTCTCTCTGCTCTTATTCCTCTAGGCAAGTGATAGTTTATGCTACCATGGCCAAAGATGATAAACTGTGGTTATTATTCTCCGTCCATTTATTGTAGGGTATTTTATTACTCTTAGTGCATTTGGAGACCCTGAACTCGGTCTCCTAAATGCTGTTGGTAATGCTGGGTTGGCCCTCTCCGTTGCTCTGGTTGTGACTGTCTTTTCTTACATCTACCTCGAGTGGTATGCACATGGTAAATGGACGGGACATCCTGGAATGCAGGCGATGAAAAAAATTGCCGACCACATTTCTTCTTCCTCTTCCTTGTTGTCATCAGTCAATTCAGACGAGCTGGAATTTCTTCGAAGTCACCCCAGGTGTGGTGAAATTTCTTGAAATCGATTGATCTGTCTCGGAATTTAACTTCTTAAGTGGTAAGCGGAAGCTGAACTGGGTTGGGAATGTATTAGCTACCGAAAAAAGCTGGAAAAAGAATAGTGAACTAATTTCTTAAACTTTTGATCCAACACCCACGGTCTACCTTTCAGTCAGTGTGTCTGCAGTCCTGTGATTAGGTTTAGTGTTTTTCTCCTCCACAGTCCAGAAGGAGTAGCTTCTAGCATTGATCAAGAGTTTCGCAGAATGGAAAAATTTATTGCCTTCGCCGGCCGCGGTCTTACCTCCTCTTGGTCGGGTCGTCGAATTGTCGTAACGCCCTCGTGGATTCTCTTCTCATACCGCACAACCTTCCTGCCGATTTGCCAACTCCTAGGTCATTTGGGCGCTGTTGTTGTGGGAACGCGGTGGATTAACAATCAAATGGCTTCATTCGAAGAGGAACAGGAACAGACCGATTTGGTGCTCGGAAGTGGTGTGGTTATGGCAACTATCAGAATCGCTGACATGGATAGTGGAGCATGTATGCTCTCGTTTGAGTAAGAAGTAGTTTGGTTTGGCAGTGAAGATAATACTCGCTTTTCCTCTGTTCACATGACTATTATCCCGTGTTTCCATTTTACATTTCTCCAATGACTTCATGTACCATCGTTCTTTCTCTGATGAATGGGACTGGATTGCTTCTCCAATTTGTGATTTTTAGCCTCCCGGCAAGTGAATTAGAAAATTTCCGTCTCTACTTACGCTGCCCGTTGGTCTACGCGCAGGGCGTTTCCCTCGAACCGAACATAATTCAACGTTTTCTGGAAGCATTCTCTACAGCCGTTCAGGAAAACGAGCCTATCGAACTTCCCTCTAGTATGGTGAGATGCCTATTTCAAGAGCAGGCGTGACATCTGCCCTTCCGACGCTAAACTTACCTCATTTCCTACTGTCCCTTCTTTACTCGATAGGAACTTGAACGGTGCATAGGCTGTCTCAACACCCAGACAAATGTAGCCATACGTCGCAGTTGTGCAGGCAAGTGCGGATCCTGCCGATGTCGGCCAATGTGGTGTGAGATGTGTGTGGGGCGATGGTTTGCATCGCGGCTGGCTCAATCGCATGTGTTAACCTCGGAATGGTTAGCTTCTCGTGTCCCCTGTCCCACATGTCGAAGCCTCTTTTGCGTTCGAGATGTGCTTCCATTGAGTCGCGCCCCATCCTAATTTCATACTTGCTGGAATTATTGGAAAATTTTTTACTCGAATTTGATTATTTTTAAGTTTATTTGAGAGTGCAGTCTCCTC